CTGGCCTGGCTTCCCCTTCCTCTCTCCTTGATCTCTCTTTGCACTCGCATCCATCTATCCTCTCCATCCTGACGGTCACTACCCACATGTGAGCTCCCCTCTTCCTGGGGCCAGTACCGGAGTATATCACCCTAATCCCCATTTCTAGCATCTCCCCTCTCTAACTCATCCTAAACATGACTGCCCACACCATGTGCCCACAGCACATTTCAGCACCGCCTTCTCCAGCTCCCCACCTCATTCTCCTTAGCCTGGTTTAGTCTGACCCCCAGTCCAACTGTCCCCTAAGACTCTCATGACTCCTCTACCTCAGCTTCTACCCAGTTCATCTTGTCCCTGAGGATGGGTCCTTCCTCTCCCTCCTGCTTGTCTGAGACCTGGCCCTCCTCTAAGGCTCGTGACACCCACCTCCCCTGATCCCTCCTGGGCTCTCTCTGTCCTCAGGGACTTCCTCAGTCCTGGAGCTTCTGCAGACTGGTCCAGTCTGTGTCTTCAGCTACACTGCAAGGCTTCAGATCAGATACTTGGTGCATTTCTTCTTTCAGGTCTTCCCGATGCCTTAGCCCAGCGCTTTTGCAGATGGTGCTCAGTGCATTTCAACATGGGGCTGAGCTGAGAAGGCTGGAGACTGGGAGCAGAAATCCTGAGTCCTCTCACCTGGATGACCATGGGCAAGAGTTTCTCATCAGCCTTCAGCTTCAGCATGACCAGAGGGGCAGCCAGTTGCTGCTGGCTACAAAGAATGATGTTGGCCTGGATCCCATCCAGCTGGGAGAAGTCAGCTTCAAACAGTGTGCTCCCTGGGTGGGGGAAGAGGTCAAGGGCTGCTGTCAGCATAAGGCATCTTCTTCCTACTCTGATTCCTCCAAGGCAGAAGAGAGAGAGGGGAGCTGATTTGTCTCCATCACCTACTTTGTACTAGGTGGTGGATCATGTCTTATTGCCTCATATCTTTTTTTTTTTTTTTTGCCAGGGTCTTCTCTGTTGCCCAGGCTGGAGTGGAGGAGCAGGATCACCATGGCTTGCTGCAACCTTAACTTCCTTGGGCCCAGGTGATCCTTCCACCTCGGCCTCTCAAGTAGCTGGGACTTACAGGTGCATGCCATTACACCAGAAATGACAGGCGCTAATTCTTTCATTTTTGTAGAGAGGGTTTCACCATGTTGCCTAGGCTGGCCTCCAACTCCTGGGCTCAGGCAATCCTCCTGCCTCAGCCTCCCAAAGTGCTGGAATTACAGGTTATGAGCCACTGTGCCCAGCCTTATAATTTTTATACATAGTTGAATGAGCCTCAATTTTACAGAAGTAAAAACAGATAATCAAAAAGGTAAGCTGAGGTTACACAGCTTACAAATAGCAGAACCAGTGTTTACATCCAAGCCTAACTGCCCTGTAATCCCATGAATTTCCTCTCTGTTGTTCCACGTTGCCTCCTGATTAACAGCCACAGCACTCTGACTCTGCACACTCTGCACACTCCCTTAATCCCTAGCACCAAGGCCCAGTCACGTTTCTTTGTTTGACCCTGTTTCTATCAACCATTCCACCTTGCACACCATTCCTCCGCAGAACGCTACTTTTGTGTGGAAAGGAGGCTGTGCAGCTGAGCTTCTCCAGGATCCCTCAGGGCCTCTCCTGCAGAATCCCTCCTTGTTGCTGGCAGCAAGCCAGGCCCACAGTGGGTCCCGCAGCGGCATCATTGATGTCAGCCCGCCTCACTTCACTGTTGAGCCTCCTCAGGGCTCTGATGTCCATACCTCCAGCTGCTTCTCCAGCTAGGCCTGCAGTTCCTCCATGCCTGGAGGGAACACGGGTCGGCAGGAAGGTGACTAGAGTACCTCAGCACCATGGGGTTGGCGTCATTAAGAAACTGGTACCCAAATAAGGCATTTTCCTTCCAGGGGTGCTGCATATACTCTGGGGAAGGCAGCTGTTCAGCAAGTTGTGGGATCTGAGTTCTTGGTTCTTCCAACCTCATCAAACATTCCCTCTTGACTCCAACCCACCAGAGGACCCAAGTCTCTGGTCTCCCCACTCTGGTTCTTACAGGTGCATCCCCTGGATTGAGTGAGATCTAGGGGTAAGGGTCCTAGGAGATGTATCAGGGTGGGGGGATTGACCTGCTAGTTTGCTCTGGTAGCACCAGAAAATCTGGTTGAAGTCATCCAGATCCTTCCAGCAAGTCAGAATATTTAAAGAGTCTTTGATAGCAAGCTTGGCCAGCCTTCAGGGAAGGATGGGGCAAAGGGTTTGAGCATCATTCTGAGACTCCAACATTAAAACCACAGACACCTGTCTTGGGCCAGTGCAGTGCAGTGCAGTCCATAAGTCCCTCGCCTTCCACCTCCCTCTCACCCAGCTTCCCTTGCTCTCACACCTTGGCCAGAGAAGCCTCAAAGTCAACTCTTGTCTTCCAGAAATCGCTCATCCACAGGGAGGTCACATAGTTTGGCCCCAGCCACATTCAGAATTAACCCATCATTCCAGTTTCCCCACCTGTGGGGCAGGAGTGAAATCAGGCAGGGGTGCTGGAGGCATCAGGAGCTCCCGTGGGGTCAGGGGAGGAGGGCTCTCGGTTCAGCTTCCTTCTCTCTTCCAGCTCCTCTTCTCGGTGTTTCCTGAACAGGCCTTGAGGGTCGCCGACCACAGTGTGGCCTAGGAGAGGGGAGGGCTTGGCCAATGACTTTTTCTGTGAGCCTCTTCTCCTCCCTGCCAGGAAAGCCTGATCACCCCTTCCTTCTGTGTGGCCCCTGCCCCTTCAAGCACCATGACCCTTCCCCAGCCTCCAGCCACTCGGTGCCAGCTGCAACCACTGCCCCTTCGACACCCCCGAAGACCCCTGAGTTTCAGGTTCCAGCACCCCCATCCTGCACCCTCTTCTCCACACCCGCATCTTCCCAGCTTCTCTCGCACCCCAGAGGCCTCCGGACATCCCCAGCCCCGCGCTCACCAGGGCTCAGGACTTCGTCGCCCTCCACCCAGCGGTAACAAGGGAACCTGACTTCGATCCAGCTGCAGAACCAGGCGTCGCCCTGGAGGAGGTGCCATTTGTGCAGTTTTACAAACAGCAGAGGCCCCAGGTACTCTGGTACTTTCACCTTGACTTTGGTCTCCCGTGGGCTGGCACAGCAGAGGCTCAGACCCGGTGGGGCTTGGCCAAGGGGCACTCGGCTAAGCCCTCCAGTGCCCACGCCCTTCCTCGGAGCCTCTGAAAAAGCGGCTTGAAGAGAGCGGGTGTGTGTGTGTGTGTGTGTGTGTGTGTGAGGGGGAAGGGGGAGGACGCGGTTCTGAGGGGACGGGGGCAGCAGGTAGAAGGGTTGCTCCTTCCTTCACTTTCTCTTCCCTGTGGTCATTGACTGTGCTAAGCCCTGGGCTGGGCGCTGGGAACCCGGAGCCGTGCCCTGGACAAGCGCGCCGTGAAGCCGGGACTTGCGGGTGGCAATTCCCGCTGTGCGACCCCCTCCCCTGAGGCTGAGGACCTTCAGGGGCCCCACCGGCCTGGGGACAGCCTTCCCGGAGACCTGGAGGTGGGGAGGACTCAGCCAGGAATAGTGAGAGGGTAGGCAGGGGAAAGGCGTGCCAGGCAGGGACAGAACAGAGGGTAAGGGAAGGCCAGCAGCATCGTGGAGCTGGAGCTCAGAGCCCAGGCGTGAGGGGTCAGCAGATCGGGAGGCTCTTGAAGGTAGCCCCAAGGGCTTTGAATTTGGTCTCGAGAACAAGCAGGAGCCATTCAAACGTGTTAAGCAGCGGGAGTGAATTAGGGAGAAATCCTTCTGGCTTCAGAAGGGCTTGGAAGGTCTGCAGCAGAGGTGGCCTGGCCGCTGGAGATGTGAAACGGCTTTTAAAATCGAGAAAGCAGGAGGATCCAACCGCTCAGGCGACCGCAGAGTTTCCAGGCGCGAGAGCTGGCGCTCAGGAGCATCCCGGAATTTCCAAGGAGATAGAGTAGCGGAAACATTTATTGAGCGTTTACTGTGTGTCACCAGCTGCCCACCCTAGGGAGGGAAGAAGGGAAGAAGGAGTTCGCCTTTCCACCTTCTGTCCTCCGTTCCCTCACCGTGGTGTTGCGGAGCCACCTGCTCCGTGCGCATTTTCTTTCTCCGAAGCTCGGAGCAAGAGCATGGAGGTGGGGGCAGCAGGGCTTAGCAGGTTCAAGGGCGGTCGGGGGCGGGGCGGATATTGGGCAAGGACGAGGAAAATGCTCAGGGTCTAGAACTGACTGCGCCGGATTTTTGTTTAGAGGGAGGTGAAGTGAGGGAGCTCAGGTGACACCAGGGGAGGCAGGAAGAGAGGTCTGGGAGGTCGGAAGAGGGGCGGACCTCATTCGGGCAAGTTTCTTTGAAGTTCCCTGGGACAGACATCCGGATTTGGGGAACTGGGAGAGAACTAGACCAGTGATGGGAATTTGGGGTTGGTGGAAGAAAAAAAAGTAACAGGGCCCGGTGGAACCCCAGGTTGATATGATATATGATGGGATGTCGGGAAATCGGGAGTGTTCTCCTGTCTTGGCTTCCCAACCCTTCCCTCTCACCACCCACCCCACCCCAGGCGATAAAGCCCGAAAGGTCAGAGATCCAACAACGCTGGCGCTTGAAACGGCTGTTTAAAATAGAGAAATATGGGAGGACCGACGGCCCCTCCGGTGACCGCTGAGTTTCCAGACAAGGGAACTCTGTGCAACGAGGGGCGCACAGGAGCATCCCCTCAATTCCAAGGAGATCGCGTAGCCGGGACATTTATTAAGCGCTTACTGTGTGCCACCTGCGGGTTTGCTGTCCAAAACACGCAGGAAGAAGGAATCAAAGCCTGGTACAACAGGCAGACGAGGTGGGGAAAAGAGTAATGCGCGCGTGTGCCACGGACTTTGGGGCAAGTCTGGATGGCTGGGAAGCCAACCTCTAAAGGCAAGTGCGGGTGCGTGCACACACACACACACACACACACACACGCCTCACAAGTTGGATTGCAGGAGAGGGTGAAGTAGGCAAGGAGACCCAGTCTGCCGTGGTGCTTGAGGAAGGTATATTTAGGCTACTGAATTCATTCCACCAACTTTGCACACTTGTCTTCCTTGTGCCAGACTCTGGGACTCATTTCCCCTCCCCCCACATCCTTTTTTTTTTTTGAGACGGAATCTCGCTTCTTCGCCTAGGCTGGAGTGCAGTGGCGCGATCTTGGCTCACTGCAACCTCCACCTCCCGGGTTCAAGCAATTCTCCTGCCATAGCCTCCCGAGTAGCTGGGATTACAGGCGCGCACCACCACGCCCGGCTAACTTTTGTATTTTAGTAGAGATGGAGTTTCACTATCTTGGCCAAGCTGGTCTCCTGGCCTCGTGATCTACCCGCCTCGGGCTCCCAAAGTGCTGGGATTACAGGCGTGAGCCACCGCGCCCAGCCAGGACTCACTCCATTTGAGGGTAAAACTCTCTGCCTCCCTGGGCTCCTGCCCCTCTGGCACTCCCACAGCCTGGCACCAAACCCTTGCTATTAGAGAGCCAGCCTGGGCTGAGCCACCGCCCCCATATCCCACAATGCCCCGGGACCGGAAGAGGGAGCCGTGGTTTCCGGAACTGCTTCCGCCCCTCCTGGCTTTTGCTCTGTTGGGCTGGTGTTGATTCAGTGTCTATTTGTTTTGGCCACTGCCGTCGCTATGGAGACAGGTGAGTAGCTCTTTGAGCCTGGAGTCGTTCCAGATAGAACTCTCCTCGGCCCGGACAGCTTCTCCCGCTTCCCTGGGGCCTCCTTCCAGGCCTCACTCTCTGCAGGGTATGTGGACAGGGAGGAGAGAAGGCTCTTGTAGCATCTAGAAAGGCTAAGGTACTCTGCAGTTTTCCTCATTTGGTTTGTTTGCACATCTTTGCTATTCAAACACGACCCCGCCAGCTCTCCGGCATGGGCGACACTAAGGGAGAGGAGTTGTGTCTTAAAGCGTGTCTTCCTTATGTCTTAAAGCGTGTCCTTGATTGGCTCTCTGCTTCTCACATGAGCTTGCATAAGTTTGAAATATTGTTGCCAGACTTGTGTTTCATTCTGCTACTTGTGCTTCTTATATATATGTACGTTCTGTGATCTTTTAGGCTCTCTGCAGTCTCTTTTTCAGCTTGCATCCTAAGTTTTTCTTAACAGATTCAGCACGTAGCTTTTGCGAAACTTAATCACAACGTTAAATTGTTAACGTTGTTAACAATTGTTACAACGCATTATTAAAATAGGGGAAGCCACAATTACTACAGCCTACGTTAGTGATCACTGTTAAAATTCCTGCAAAGCGGCCCACGAGTGGTAGGAATTCTGCTCCGTTTTTGTGGCTGTTTTCTTTGATGACTTCTCTTTAAGTTTAGAGGTAACCCTCTTCCATGACCGTTTCTTAGGTCTCACTACAATCCTGATATGCAGAAGTAGGGTGCTGCCCCAGTGGACCATGCTCTAGCTTTTCAAACTGCTAGAACTCTCAGTGTTTGTCAGCCTCGGCACTATTGACATTTTGGGACCAGTGATTCTCCGTTGTTGGCAGAGGGTGGGGGTATTGGCCTGTGCACTGTAGGATGTGAGGTGGCATCCCTGGCCTCTACCCACCAGGTAGTAGTAGCACCTTCTGTACACCGCCCCCCAACTTTTCCACCACTAAAATATCTCTAGAAATTGCCATATATCATCTGGGGGACAAAATCACACTGCATTGAGAACCACTGTCCCACGTTCTACACACAGAAGCCAGAAGGATATTTTTAAAATGTAAATGGCATCATGTCATTCCCCTGTTGGAAACCCTCCAACGTTTTCCTGTTGACCTTAGAATAAATCTCAAACTCTTTACTGTGGCTTAGAAGACCTTCTGTGCACTGGCCCCTGCTTGCTTTTAATCTCCTGTCTTCCATTCTGCTTCCACGTATATATAATTGCCCCTCTCTCACTCCAGCCACACTGGCCTTCTTTCTGTTCCTTGAACATTCAAAACTTGTTCCATCCACCTTTTGTATTTGCTGTTCCTTCTGCCTGGAATGCCCCCTTTCCAGATCACTGTTCGCTCACACATAGCTCAGATTAAATGTCACCTAATCAGTAAGGCCTTCCCTAACCATTTTATCAAAAGAAATCTCTTACTTCCATTCTCTATCACATTACCCATATATTTCCTTCATAGTGCTAATCACAGTAGAAAATTGTCTCCTTTCATCATTGCTTGTCTTCCTTTTCACCAGAGTGTAGGCTCCACTAGAGTTGGGTCTTTGCCTTTTTTACTGGTATAGTCCAAGTTCCCAGAATACAGACAGTTCCCAATGGTACAAAAGCGACATTCAGTAGAGATACTACTTTAAGTACTCATACAACCATTATTTCTCACTTGTAGTACCGTAAGCAATAAATTACATGTGATATTCAACATTTGATTATAAAATAAGCTTTTTGTTAGATGATTTTGCTCAACTTTAGGCTAATGTGTCCTAAACAGTTTGGAAAACTCTGCCCCTACCGTGAAAGCTCTTTCCCTCCCCCACAAAGAGGCTCCCTTATCTCTCACTCTACATACCGCTCTAGCCTTCCCGCCTGGCCGCAGCCACCTCCCGCCCGGCAACCGCTGACCGCCCGCCTCATCAGCTCTCCCCAACTTCCTGCCTCCCGGCTTCCCGCCTCCCAGTTTCCCGCCGCCCAGCTTCCCCGCCTCCCAGTTTCCCGCTGCCCGGCTTCCCCGCCCAGCGGTTTAAACTGACCAACCATTGCCCGCCACCTCGGCTCTCGGCTTCCCCACTCCCTCAGCCCTTCAGCCCCCTAAAAAGAACTCTGCTCCTCTGAGCGGCGCGGCCATTTTCCTCTTCTTCCCTGCTGGTCCGCCCAGAGGCTCTTTCCTCTCAATAAAGCCTGAACTTAAGACTTTCTTCTAACCTGCGGTCCGGTTTTTTCCGAACGAGCTCAGTCCTCCCGCAGAGGGTAGGTCTGACAAACATGTTTAAGGTAGGCTAGGCTAAGCTACGATGTGTAGTAGGTTGTAGACAGTAAGCGCATTTTCAAATTACCATATTTTCAACTTACAATGGGTTTATTGGGAGGTAACCCCATCGTAAGTGGAGGAGCATCTGTAGTGCCTGGCACAGAGCAGGTTCTCAATAAATATGACTCTTGTCCATCTTCAAACCTCAGGTCAGGTTTCAATGACCTCCTTTCACTTTCTCTTCTAAGATTATTTTTGCTTGCTGGTGGGTTTGCTGTAATTTTTAACTACATCTAACCTACCTTAAAAAAGTGTATGGATAGGTGTATCAGGTACAAAGACTTAACATAAAGAAACCCATTTACTTTGAAACATAAACAAAGACCAATTAATAATTTATGAGTCTGTTTGTTGCCTCTCAACCTTTTAGCAGGCATGGAATCATTCCACAGGTCATGATTTCAGTGTGGTCTCTGTTCCTAAGGGGTGAAGGTCATCTGAGGGCTTTGGATCCCAAACTCATCTGGCTCAGAGGCTCAAACAGCCTCTTTGTCCATCAACCCAATTTATACAGCATCCTGGGCCTGAAAACCTTTTGTGCTGGCTTCAAGTGAAAATAATTCACTGGGTCAAAAGTAGGCTGGTCCAAGATGCTACAGGACGACGGTCAATAAACCTTGGCTGTGTTCAGGAACCGTGGCTTGGCTGTTTCTTACATTGATTTATGGGCTGTTTCCATGAAACCAAAAAACATTGGTCCACCTGGCAGCTGGAGGCCTTTCTGTCCTGGCTAAGGGCCCTGGCTCCTTGGTGGCCTTTGGGAAGCAGCATCTCATCAGGCCATTTTTTCCCTCTGGGGGGAAGCAGCCGGTCTGGCCCATGGGGCCGGGCTCTCCACGCGGTGCAGAGACATCTTCATCTGCAGGGACGAGGCCCGGACGTGGTGGGAGGCCGTTTCCTTGCACTGCAAGGAGGTTTCCACGTGCAGGGAGGACGCCTTGAGGACGCGAGTGTGCTGGTTTCCTGACGGTGAGAGGGAGGGCCCCTCGCTGCAGCGCTGGGAGGGCTCCACTCGCTGGGACGATGGCTCCACGCGGTGGGACGAGGTCTCCACGCGGACCATGGACGTCTCTGTGTAGCAGGGGGTTCCCACCCGGGGCAAAGACTGCTTGTCCCCTCGAGCTGAGGCCATTCTGCCAGGCGTGAGGGGGCCAGGGAGGCCTCTGGGCACCCCACACACCAATCGTCACCACAGGCAAAAGAGAGGAAAACTACTGTACTGCCACAGATGGGAGCACCACAACACGATGACATGGAAGTACCATAGTCCTTCGAAGGCTAAAACACTCGGCACCTTTCCCTCGGGCGCTGCCAGGGCCCAGTCCCCACCCCCTGCCGTTCGGGAGCCAGCAGGGGTGGAGCTGGCCGGGGATGGGCGGAGCCTCCCTGCACCATATCCCACAATGCCGGGAGACCGGAGACCGGGAGAAGGAGCCGTGGTTTCCGGAACTTCCCTCGCCGCTCTGGGCTTTTGCTCTGTCGGGCTCGTAGCGAGTTGGTGTCTCCGTTTGTTATGGTCGCCACTGTTGCTCTGGAGACAGGTGAGTGGCTCTCTTCACAAATGGAACTCTCCTAGGCCCAGATCGCTTCCCCCGGGCCTTCTTTCATGCCTCACTCGGCAAGGTTCGTATTTGGACAGGGAGGAGAGAAGGCTCTTGTGGCGTCTAGAAAGACCAAGGTGCTTTTCGCGGTTCTCCTAATTCGGTTTATTCCACATCTTTGCTATTCAAAAACCACCAGCTCCCCAGCGTGGGCGAGATTAAGAGAGGACTTGGGTGTTAAACCATGCCCTCCTTGATTGGTTTTCTGCTTCTCACGAGCTTGCATGTTTGAAATATCGTCACTAGACTTGTGTGTCATTCTGCTGCTGGTGCTTCTCATGTCTGCATACACTCCACGATCTTTTAGGCTCTCTGCAGTCTCTTTTTAGGCTTGTATCCTAAGTTTTTTTAAATGGATTCAGCACGTAGCTTTTTCAAAACTTAATCACTGTTAACAACGCATTATTAAAATAGGGGAAGTCACAGTTATAGCCTACCTAAGTGATCACTTAAAATTCCTGCGAAGTGGCCCACGAGTGGTAGGAATTCTGCTCCGTTTGTGTGGCTGTTTTCTTTGATGATTTCTCTTTAACTTTAGAGAAATTTCTAACTTAATCCTTTTAATCAAGGCTCCGCTTTTCTTAGATTTCGAAGACAGGTTTATCTCCACCCACTCCCAGTTTAGGAAGATCATCTCAATATTAGGTTTCTTTATTCTTTCCTTATATAATACAAATGAGTATTATATACAGTTACCTTTATTTTTGATGATTTTTGCTCTCTTGTCTCCTAGGTGATTCTGGAAATCGACATCGGTTTCAATTGGAGTTGGAATTTGTGCAATGTTTAGCTAGCCAACCCAAATTACCTTAATTGTAAGTTTTTAAGCACCTCATTCAATTGAGTAGCTATTAATTTCTGACAGAAGAGTTGCAATTCAAAATAGTATCTACTTGTACACATTCTCACTGGAATGAAATTACACTTATGCTGGTGTATAGATGTAATTGTGCACACTGGGACTTGTGTTTTGAATCCGATGTGTGCTGGTGGTGGGGGTATTATGTAAATAGATCCTTTATATTAGGGGTAACAAATCATAGTTTAAGAATTGGTTTGACCTACAGATTTTCTTTTTTTAAATGCTTTTCAGTTCTTGCCCAGAGGGGTTACTTCAAAGACAAAGCTTTTGTTAATTATCTTAAATACTTGCTTTACTGGAAAGACCCAGAATATGCCAAGTATCTAAAGTAAGTTTAATTTTTATAATCCTAAGCATGTGTATACTTCATTATATAATAGATTTCTTAGTTTCACATTGGCAAAAATATATTTTGAATCTCTCCACTTCTTTTAGTTTAGTTGTTGCCACTTTAATACAAGACACCCTCATCTCTAATTTGTATCACTGCAGTAATCTATTCCCTGGTTATCTCTGCTTCCACTTTTACCTTCCTGCTCCCAAACCAAACAAAGCAAAACAGCTTTCTACACAGAAGCCAACTTAATCACTTAAAAATATAAATCAGAACACTTTACTTTTTTGCTTAGAACCTTTCAATGGCTTTCCTTTCCATGCGGAATAAAATCCAGTCTCTCTTTTTTGGGCTAAACCCCTCTATGATCTGGCTCTGCTTTGTCTGACCCTGTCTTTTACCCTCCCCATCTAGCCAGGTTTCTGATCCCGAAGAGCTCACAATCCATAAATGTAGTGACATAGCCATGGGCTGAAATTAAAGAATACAGAAAGAGGGTATCTGTAAGGAAGGTGTTTGGGGTTGTTTGGAGGAGTCTTGCCTGAGTCTTAGAGCTGCTATCTTTTCTTTAAGGCCCCTTATGTGCCAAGAACAGTGCTAAATGCTTCATGTCCATTTATTCATTTATGTGTATATATATGTTTACCATTCAGGTTGTTTAGCAGACACTTTCCTGTTAAAGCTTACTAAGTTGGAAGAAGCATATTATAACCAGAAAGCAATTTCCTTTTAATGGTAAAAAAACAACTACACCTTGAACTCACACCCCTACTTTGTCTTAAGCAGGTAGTCAGAAAGCAGTAGTGAACCCTTTACAAAAAAAAAAAGTTGGAGAGGAAAATGTTTCAAACTTGTCTCAAAGTCACTTTTGTATGTGCAGTAACAGATGACTCATGAAGCATATACATCTTGTGTTGCCTGCAGGACCATATGTATCTTTTCTGGCTTTTTATCCATTTAATAATCCAAAGAAAAGACTTTAAAAAAAGTATATGTCAACAAATGTTGTATGTATGTAGATTTACAGACTCAGTGTTGGAAGCCTTAGGCACCAGTAAGTTTAATTTTACCCACAATGTTGCTGAGAGATGGTCATCTACACTGTTTGGAAGTTTCCATTGATCGCATGTTACTCTGTCAAGAGCAGCTGATTTGATTGTTAACCAGAAGTTATAAAGTTCTTCCTTATATTATAATATAATATACCTCCTTGTAGCTTCAATCTGTTTGTCCCTGGATTAAACTAGAACCATTCTATACCCTCTTGAGGACAGCAGCCTTTCAGATATTTACATTCAAGAGAGATTGCAAATTAGCCCATTTGGGGCATTTTATTTAGTCTGCCCAAGATTTTAGTTGTTTTTTTTTTAATGCTTGCCAGCATTTAAAGATCAGAAAGTTTTATTTAATAAATGCAGATTTCTAGCAACTCTTTAAAATCTGGAAGATTTAGCAACCATAGATCTTAATTCTTCCAATAAACAACTGGCTGAAGCTGAGAGCAGCTGCCACTACTAGCTGCTTTCCACCTGGTGGAAGAGACTTTCTACCACTTGGCCTGCTTCATTGCTAACCAGTAGCTGCCACTATAACATCTCTTTTATATCTGTTTTTCTCAACTCCCTTCAGCCATTGTGCCATGGTGCCTGGACTTCTCATGAGTTCAGGTTCCCTCCTTTGGATATTTGGCAGTTGTACCGTATGCAGTTCAGCCAAGAACTAAATACAGACCTTCAAATGTGGTCAGAGTACAGTGGGCCAGAGGTCCTTTCTTTTCTTTAGGTGGACATACACCTCTATTAATTAAACTTATGTTTATATGACTTTCGGGGTCAGGGTGGGGGTGGGGAGAGGGTCACATTGTTGACTTGCTGGGAGCATTAATGTCAACTAAAATCCTTCAGTTCTTATTTTCATCAATGCTGTTGAGTTCTCCCTATCTTGTTTATTTTTTAAAACACCAAATGCAGAACTTCCCTTTTCTACTGCTTCTGTTTCATCTTGTTGACTTGTAGCCTATCCAGAGTATGATTCTTTATTGTCATCTAATATATTCTGATGTAATCGCTGCCTGTCTAAATTCTAGTTATTGACCAAATGCTACTTGAGACTTCTCTTGGTTGTCACATTACTTTACAGCTGAAGAAACTGAACTTTAGAGAGATTAAGTACCTTGTTAAAGGCTACGTGGCTGGAACTTACATCCTGGTCATTTTAACTACTCATGCTGTCATGAAAGGGAGTTAGCCAGGGCAGGTATGAACAGAGCATTCTAGCATAAGCAGCCAGCAATTAGAGCAACTGTGTATTTTTAGTATGCAGATAGCAAACCTTTACTCCCTTGGAAGTTACTCTCTTAGAAGCATGGTACTAAACCCTCTATTCAGTGTGGTGTTCAGATCAGCAGCATTGGTTCCATTTGGCAGCTTTTAAGAAATGCGGAGCTCAGGCCCCACTGCAGACCTAAGGAATCAGTCTGCATTTTAAGAAGTGATTCAGACACAGGATAAAGTTTTAGAAGCATTGCTTTAGCATCCTATTTTCCAAACTTTAGTCATTTGCATATCACTTCTACAACTTTGGCTTTATCTGCATACTTCCTATATTTCACTGTATTTTGTCTGATGTAAATGCTTTTATGTCTTTTCAACTTGAAATCATTTCACTTACAAAATACCTGAAAAAATAGTAAAGAGAACTCCTGTATTTTCTTCACTCACATATTCCAAATGTTTAACAATACAATCAGCAAAAATCAGAACATTAATATTATTACCTAATCTACAGGGGTCAGATTTTGCCAGTTGTCCTGCTGGTGTGCTATATGCAGTACAGGATCCAGTCTAGACCTGCATATTACATTCATTGTCATGTTTTCTTAGTCTCCTTTAATCTCAGTGGTCTTTTCTTTGCCATGACTATGACAGAAACGATTTTGTATCTGTCATATGTCTATAGTCACATGAAGTCTATTTGTCCCACGGCTGGTGATATTAATTTTGATACCTTGGTTGAGGGTGGTACCTTCTGGGTTTCTCCGTATGAAGTTACTATTTTTCCTTGTATATTTAATAAGCATCTTATGGGAAAATCCCTTGAGACTATATAAATAACATATTACATATACTTTTGCCCATTAATTTTAGCATCTTTTGAAGATACTTGCTTTTGAAGAAACAATTTTCACTGTGGTGATTTTCTAATTCTGTCATTCTCCATTTATTAGTTTGGAATTTGATTGTAGGGAAGTACTTTTCCTTGTTTTCTATTTATTATTTTATTAAAGAAATTTACATCCATTTAGTATGGACTTTTGGGTTCTTATTTTCATTCTGTGAATTTTAATTATGTATTTTCTTTCTCTGAGTTTTCCAGATTTGGCCATTAGGAGTCCCTTCAAGTTGGCTCCTGAATACTTTTGATCCTCCCAAGAATTTTTAGCACTTTTTCTTCTGGCACTACATAATGTTCCAGGCTCATCTTGTCCTTTCCCTGTCTTATCCCTGAATCGGCCTTTTCTCCAAGGAAACCTGCTCCTTGGAAACCAGGCACTGTGTGTTCATTAGTACCACAGTGTCATTGCTTCTAGGCCCTCTCAGTACACAAAGCTCAAGAACTCTATATATGTATGTATGTGTGTGTATACATCACACACATATATATCTGTTTATGTCTCTATATATTAAAAGCCTTAAGTACATACAGTTTTCAGTACCAGCTCAGTAACACAGGGTTCATTCTAGCCTTTTTCCTTTCCTTGTCTATAACTCCTTTTCTGATAGCCAGAAATTTGGCTCTCCATATCCACAGTATATTTACTTGTCCAATCCTAGAGTATACCTAATTTCAGAATTGGTATATCCCTGTGGACAAGAGTACAATGTATATGCATAGTCCTCTTTCTCAAACTGAAAGTTGTCTTTTTATCACTATTGATGGAAAAACCAGTAACTATCAATTAAACACACAATTACTAAAATATGTTCATGTTCTTCACCTTGAAGGAAATAGCAAGGTTTGTCCCTAAATTTTCACTCTGCTTACCAGTTACTGTGTTCTGTAGTCTTGAGCAAGTTAATTTAATCTTTCTGAACTTAAACCTTCTTACTTGAAAATTTTGCTGAACACTGACTTTTGATGACTATGCAGGGGGAAAACCCTATGCTACTAGAGTGTACTAAGTTAATGTTATAGAAATGGTAGGCTACAACATCATTTTTAAGAGAATAACTGAATTAGACCTTGGCATTATTTACTACTTAAATTATGTTGTTCATTCACTTATAAACTTAAACCCAGGTACCCTCAGTGTTTACACATGTTAGAGCTGCTCCAGTATGAACACTTCCGAAAGGAGCTGGTG